TTTCACTGAAGTTGAAAGGTCGTGTATATTGTGCTACTGTTCGTTCAGTCCTGCCTTATGGTTGTGAGACCTTGAATTTGCGAAGATACCCACCAACTAGAAGTTTTCGATTATCGGTGTTTACGTAATTCAGCTCGTGTGGGATGGAGCAAACGAGTTAGTATTCTGGAGGTAAGCCGACTTATGTTTGGGATTCTATCAGAGATACACTTGCTAGATCATTGTATTCAGATTAGTTGGCTTCGCTGGCTAGGGTACGTATTGCGTATGCCCAGCTGTCGTCGGCCGCTCCGCGCTTTATTCGCTCTAGCCCGGCTGGAAGAAACTACTTGGAGGTCAACAGATGACGTGGAGACGAGACATGAAGAAATGTCACGCGCCTTCCAGGGTGAGAATCCGCAACTGGCCTCCAAATGCCTCATTATAGTCGGGAGTGGGTGCCTCGGGCTCCCAAACGACCAAGCGACTCAAATAGCTTCTGCTGAGGAAGTCCTACCCACTGTCTTCATGTGGCGGAGGTATGAACACTAAAGTGGGAGGGCAAAGGCGAGTGCCCGGCGCTTTCGACCGGCGTAGAGGTATGAAGAGATTAGCCTCAGCATTGTTTTCGATTGGTGCAGCTCGCCTTTCAGGCTGGGGCCCAGGGGATGAGGATTGCCGACGCTGAGAGATATAGCTCAAAATAGATTTCAGTGACGCGATTGCGGTGCAGTTCGTTTGTCGAAACCGTATTCCCCATAGACAAAAAAATTCGAAGTGTAAGCTGAAACAAAAAATCATTCATTCATTTGTTTTCCCTGTTCTCTGTTTTCCCGATTTTCATTTCATTTTTCAATACCTTTTCCTAACACTATTATCATTGTTTTGCGTTGTCATTATGCTTGTTCTCAAGCCGGTGTGGAATATATAAATATATATGAAACCAACAAGCCGACAGGTTTTTCGCGTATGCGCAACGGAATTACAAGCGATTAATATATGTATGTTGCGTAACTTAGACTACGGTTCGAAGTCCTGGTGAAATTAGCCACTCATATTCTCCAGGTTCTTCTTCGAACTACTCCGTTCACACCTCAAAAGACGATGAGACTTGCCTATTAGGTCAGTGCGGAGTGGTCAGTGCACTGAACCACAACTCTGAAGCCGTGATGATAGGTTGAACCCCCTCAACAGTGGCTTATGCGCGACGCCGTTTCAGAGTTCAGATAAGTGTTCGGAGGCGAAGCAACGCAAAAAGTTTTTTATGATCTCAGCTTACTCTCCCAGTAACTGATTTTTTCATTACACACCTAGGTGTGATGAACAACAGACGGGGTAAACCCCATAGTCAAGAGGACCTGCTGTTCAGTGGTCTAAATCGGCAACTTAAGCCCCGGAACTTGGAGTGGCGAACCACATAAGGCCCCGATAGGTTAGGCGTGGTATTGAACCGGACGACAGCAGAGCTGCCTACCACCAATGTCGGGTGGCTGTGGCGGGGCTCGAACTTCGGATTATCGGGTCCATAGTACGCCAGTGACAGCGACTAAACCACTGCGCCACCACCACCAACTGATTGCTATTGTCGAGCAAAAATATCCCAACAACTCATGACGGATGGCAAAATAATGTGCCAGCTCATCAGGTAAGCTGACCCAAATAAACCATGTAACAGAAAGCAACCATTGGAATGGATCAGTTCTAGCGAACTGCGTTGAGTCTGTCACGGCGCTTTACCATTATAATCAGTGGTCACCGGTCGAAATCTCAATCCCCGCTAGCCCATCGTTGCTGCCTGACCCAGATATTTGTATTTCAAGTGCTTCAAGTCCCGTAACTTGGTGGGGTAGATGAACGATATGATTAGATTGGAAATGCAATACATGTGGCAGTAAACGTTGCTAGTGGATCGGACCCTAAAACCGGTCTCTTAGGACTTGGTGGTCTTGATGGAGAAGAGACAGACCCCATCCAACCAGGATAAAGTGCCTTATAATACGATATATATATATATATATATATATACGGTTCTGAAACCACTCTGAAAGAAACAAATCACGGTACAACCTCTATGAAAAGAAAAATTCCTATGATTTGCTCTAGGGTGCGATACTAATAGCTTGCCTAGGCTTAAGCTTTAAAACGATGGGGCTAGGGATTCATTGGTTTTCCCATCTAGGTAGCCCTACTGTGGCACGGTATATGCAAGGTTAGAGTTGCATATGTACAACTGAAACATCAGAAGCTTCGACGTGAATGCTTGGAGTTGAAAAATTGCGTAGTTCTGCTGTACAGTTGTGAGATCCCGAGCTAGTGTGCAAGGTATCCGAGGACCGAAAAATCTTCAACTGACTTCGATAGCGTAGTGTGGTGCGGTAGGATGGATTGAGTGCATAAGCACTACCAAGAAAAATCGCCACACATTTATGCTTCGGTGGAAAATTCGTCATCGCACTGAATTTGTAAACTTTGCCGAGTAGGACACGTTTTGCGAATGCCTCAGTCACAGTTGCTGCTACAGGGCAGAAAAAAATTACAAGGCCATCAGACGGCGTGAAGAGAAAGCGTAAAGAAATGCACTGAGCGATTAGGTAAAGTTGGTGTCTCTCGTCTTCCAAGCGGGGATCCCAAAGACTCTGTAACTGGTTGGTTGGAGACTCTAATGGACAACAGGCAGCAAACGGACAGCAGTGGTGTTCTTACTGTTACTTCTAATCAGGCCGAAGTGCTTGGAAAGATGTATGCACAACCGGGTTGTGTATTCTGTATATTGACCACTGAGGTTCGGTTTTGTTACTCTTCCCTCAGAATAAACCAAATTCTTGACCACCTCCAATTCACCCTTAGTTTGTATACATTATGGGCTAGGCAGCGAATTATTCAATTAACTGTATTTTGATTCAGTATAATAACGTTAGTAAACCCCCACACTGCGAAGCTGGACTGTGCTACAAGTCAAACTCTCCAAAAAGGTTGTGGAATACTTCGGGTTTTCGTTAATCATCATGCAACCTGTGGACCATCCTTGTGGTTATTTCTGATATCATTACAGCAATTTTCCCCTATGAATTGTCGTAAACTCTTTATAAGGCATAAATAACTCCCGTCTTCAAGTAAGCCTTGCAACGAGTAGCGCGGCTACAGTAAAGAGCGATCCACTGATCACATTTAGTTTACCTGCATTGTATCTGTATCTTGATACGGTGCTCAACTTTTTACGTCGGTCTTTTAATCCTTTAACATTGTCTGATTAAATGAGCACAGGGAAAACGATGATAATAGTTAGAGGCAGATGAAACAAAGGGGAAAATTGCGTTTAAAATTGAGCGTTTCTTTTAAACTTATTTCAAAGTAGAAGTGGTATTTTATTCATTCATTCATTTATTCAGCATTCACCCCAGTATGAACCGTAAAAAACAAAATGTTTATTTCATGCACCAGCAAAAGTCTGATGCTCACCTTCAACTGTTGTTCTAGCTGCTCCAGTTCTTGCACTTTCGCTTGGAATTCATCAGCAATTGTACGATAAGCTTCCTGAGTATTTTCACACACTTCGCGCAATCTGGCACACTCTCGTTCAGAATCAGCAAGAGAATTCTGCAAAGGCAAGACGTGTAAAAACAGTCAGAACAAGCTCAGAGAGGGGAACAAGTTATCAGAACATAGAACACGATGTTGAAGAAAAGAGTTGAAGGACCTGAGGTGATCATACTAAGACCCAACGAATAAAACCATGAAAATAATCACCTTGAACTAAAACAAGACGATTTACCTCTAGATCCGCTGCTTTGGTCATCGCCTCAGTCTTTTCGTCAAGTATTCGGGCTAGCATAACTTTGCTGGCCTCCTCCAAGTTCATCTTGTCTTCCAGGGCCTGGCACAAATGATTTTGCAGCGAATCTTGGGGAAGATTCTGAGGACAGATGCATTTGACTGGTTGAGCATTCTTCGTACTTACCTCTTTGAGCATGGACAATTGGCTTTCATACAACGCCAACTTCCCCAATAAACGATCTTCCCGAAGCATTGCCTATACCATCAAAGTATATCAAAACTAAGTCCACACTAATACATACCTGCCAACCGCTATCTGACATCTCACGGATATCCTCCACCACTCGTTTAAGTTTATCAAGTTTATCAACAAGAGATCGTTCACGGAATAACGCCTCCTTCAGAAAATTTCGTATTTCAAAAGGACAAAACTTACATTCGCCAGGTGGAACAGAAGGAAAACCTGCTCAGAGTGGAATGCGTTGGCGCCTGCTATACCGTTGATAACCCCGGTTTGATCATAGCTGAAATGAACTGTTGAGCAACCAAGTCAGAAGCACTCACTTTGGTTTTGCTTCACATCCACTACCCAAATATAACGTGACCTGAGCAATGATGCATCCATGAGTCGCTACAAAAATGCTATGAAGTTTAAGGGAACGCTTACTATCGCGCTCGACTACATCCACACCAAAACGGATGATATCCCCAGAGAAAATTTCACGATCGGAAAAATCTTCTCCAACTTTTTTGTGAACACGTGTGTTGTTGACGAACGTTCCATTGCTACTATTTGTATCTCGTAACCAAAACTGAAATGCGAAATAACTCATGCAACAGAAAGGGATGCCTACTTTGCCATCCTTGTACCAAATTAAGGCATGGCTTCGTGAAAGCACTTTGCAGTCAAAGATGGCATTATTTGGAGCAGGCTTAAGCCGAGCAACGGAACGACCCACTTTGATCACTTCATTGAGAATAATCCTACGTTCCTGGAAAGGATGCGACTCCCGAAGGGACGTAAGCACCAAAACAGGTGGGTTTTCAGATTCACCCAAGGGACTTTGCGTCATTGAATAATAAAGTGATACTATCTAAAGCATCTGCTGAAAAATTAAAGGAAATTTTTTGAGAATATAAGAATAAATGTTCGGCTCCATTAGCATTAGAATAGAAGAGTGCATTGTAAAAGCAAAGTAAACTGTGGTGAAAAAGTGAACTCAAAATAAGGTGTTATTGACCAGTGAATTCGGTACACAAAACGAAATAGCCCATGCAAATGTATGAATTAGTATGGTTTATTAAAACTCCGCTTAAACACCGTGTGACAACTGCAAATCGCGAAGTTAACTGGGTGATAAGTAGATCAACACTCCAAATCCTATCGCCGAGTTCTGAAGTGGTTTACGAAGTCCACTCTTTACATAAAAAACAAACTTTCCACGGTAGAATAACCCGACCACAACTTACTGCGAAGGGGCTACAAACAAGTCTTTTCATGAGTCTCGGGGACAAAGCACAAGGAAATGTGCAATCTCATGCAGGGCGGCAATGTAACCATCCGTCGCCGATTCATACCTCTAATTGGAATAAGAAAATCGTTTCAACACCCCGTTTCTTAGTCATTCATGGAACTGAGGTAGTGCAACTAGAGACCAGGGAAAATATCACTACATAATTTGAATAAAGTGAGTGAATTAATCTGGAATATTACTGCAAGCGTTAAGTAACCATGACCAGGCTAATTATCGCTAAATTGCGAGCTACTGCTTGTTCTGAAAGTCTCTGACACTACATATAAAGGCCGCCTTCAGTCTGAGAGGTAAAAACGACCTAATGAACACCACGCGGAGGCAGATTGACGAGACGAACGACTTCTGAGTAATAACTGTCTTCAGTCTGTTCCTGTTAGTCCTTAAACCCGCTTCCTTCTTCGAAAGAACCAATAAAGAACCGAAAGTGCTTTCAGACTGATGAAACTGACACGTGGTTTGTCTCTAACCATCTCCGTGGGTAGGCGACGGTCAACAGAAATTTTGCGTGCGATTAATGAGAAATCTACACTAAACTATGTCAGTACCATAAATACTGATTATTCTAAGGACTTACCGCTGTAGTCAAGTGTCCTAGACGGTACTGATCAGTGCAGCGCTTCCACGCGGCTTGGCTTAAATTGTCAGGTCATGATTTTGCCAACGGCTAATGAACAAACCACGACTGGTACGAAAACCATAAAACTAACCAACGGTGTGAAGGATATTACTGATAATCGAATAAAGAAGTTTTATAGCATGAAACAAAGGCTAAGATCAACATCTATAAATGAACAAATAGGGTACCTTGGAATGCATTGATTGAAATGCAATTGCTTCGGTGGAAAATAACTCCAAGCTAATATGCCTACGCAAATGGGGACACATTGGTAAACAAATGATTAATTAACAGAAAACATCCAGCAGTTCGCACAACAGAGAATGATGAATATCAATGCACATCGCCGCTATATCTGATCAGTTAGGTGCAATAAATCCGATTTATGCAAAGCAAAACCCGTTTTATATCAGCTTACAAACTAAAGCACATTTATCAACAATGAACGCATTGCTATCCGTTGCGTCATAACGATGTACCTACGCGTTCTTTGCATCACAAACAAAATCCGCGACCTTCGGAATCGAAAGTACGCTAGTTGCCAATTTGGTTTAGCCGCCACTGTGCACCAGAGATCCGATCTAACAAAGCTGCTTTACACATTTTGCAAAGGATCTTCAGCCTCCAGTCTTCCGCGTTGAAGGCAAAGATCAGTACACCAGTGTTAGTCCCGTCACCACTGGGTCGAAGGTCTGATCACGTGGTATCCAAGTCTTGAGAAGCTGGCCCAGAAAGTGAAGCTGGAGCCAAAGAAGTATTACGGGTACGTCCAGTCAAAGGGCTCCACCAGAAAAGAGATGGGCCCACTGGTGCTTGAGGGATTAGCCCAGCGATCATCAAGCCGATTGCTGATATAATCGCTGGGCCAATTCGCAACCTTTTTGGAGCATCACTAACTGAAGGGAACTTACCGTCCGACTGAAGAACATCTTCGGTAATAGCCATACACAAGGGCGGTAAGAAGACAGAGGTAAAGAACTATCGACCTGTTAACCTAACTGTCGTGCTATGCAAGGTACTAGAGAAGATAGTTAAAACGCATCTAGTGAAGCATCTGGAGCGTAACATACTCATGACAGAGGCACAACATGGTTTCGTTAAGCAGCGTTCATGCCCAACAAACCTGCTGTGCTCTTAGGAGGATTTTACTGCAAAGATAGATGAGGGAAAAACCGTAGAGGTGTGCTACCTGGATTTCAGCAAGGCTTTTGATTCAGTAAACCATCGCCTGTTGTTGACAAAGTTAGAGCGATTCGGAATCCAAGGACAGTTGCACAGGTGGATAANCAACACCAGTTCAGCTGACTAGCGGAGTTCCGCAAGGCTCAGTATTAGGACCGCTTCTATTCCTTCTCCACGTAAACGACTTGCCAAGCACTCTGACATCATCATGCTACATCTTTGCAGATTACATCAAAGTGGTTGGTCCGAATGGGGGAATTGATCTGGAGCGGGAGTTAGGACAGGTAGCTAGATGGGCAAAGGAATGGGATCTAAGCCTCAACGCCACCA